TGCTATGGACTCTCGTCTATACGGCGCGAGCCGCTTCCAGGCGCTGTAAATTTTATCGCCCGGATAAGAGCAGACTCGTAGACGGCGGTCGTAAAGATACTTTACTGTGTATTTACATCCCGACATAATACGTTACGCGGCTTAATATTACCCGTTAAGTGAATCGAAACAGTCGGATTGCTTTACCCAAGCTGCACTTTGCCATGTAAAAGATAGTGAATATGACAATTTCTAATTCTCTTATTCTTATCGATACTTCTTCAATTCTCATTTATTCATACGTAATCGTGATACGATTTGTAAACATTAAAAATAGATGATTTAGATTTAATTGAAATGAAGCATTAATGTTAGTTAAATTTCTTTTTTTAGTTAAAACAAGTTTTAATTAAAAATAGTGTATTAGTCTCTTGTATAATTTTAAAATGTGTATATATGCGAGGGAGAAAGGAAGAATGGGAAAGGGTGAGAGAGAAAGAGAGAGAGAGAGAGAGAGAGAGAGAAAGAGAGAGAGAGAGAGAGAGAGAAGAAGAGAGAAGAGCAGATAGAATAGAATGGAGTATTATTAGATTATATATTTATCTCAAAATGATTAAATAAATCAAGATAATTAATATTCAAACCAATTAATTAATTTATTAAAAATTACGGATTTATAATGATTGATGATAAAAAGTAAGAATTGAATCAGTTTTAAAAGATTAAATATAATTTAAAATAGTCAATGAAATATTTTTTAGTCATAAATTTTTCGATTGATTTTTATCTGATTTCAACTCTTGCTACTTGTTTACATATTAAACTATGTGAATGTAAGGCATTTTCTAATAGGGGTCGGTCACCCGTGATAATAAAAACAATAGCCCCGAGACGCGTTTCTCGTTATCCCCTCCCACGTTCCATTATACATTACAGTTCTACTCTCCCCATACCTACGGATTGTAAATATATCCACGTATACGAGCGTCCCGCGGTTCACGTTGATAGCAATGAACGGAAATACAATTATCGGTGGGAATAAAACGCCGCGGATCGATGACAGGATTCGCGAAAGCGCCGGAGGATCGGACGGGTTGGAATATGTAACGCGATTGCAAGGGGATGGGAATGGTTTGGCGGGTGGATGGAAATCGCAATGTGCACCCGCGGGATGTTCCAGGACGTGAAGCGTTCGACTAGCCATTTGATTATGTAATTTGCACGGCCACGTAGCTGACGACACCGGGTGGTAAATACTTGCCATTTTTGACTCTCCACCTCCTACCTTCGTTGTCTTTTGCATCCAACTCGTGGACAACTCCGCTTAAATCTTTCAACGCATTCGAAATTCAGTGCAGTCGATCGAAACTTGACGTTTTGCCGCGAGCATGTCGCGACATTTCGCCGCGAGTACGTCGCGACATTTCCCTTCGAAATGTGATAATTTGTTGCTCGCTCTCATGAAATTTTTGCGTTGTATCACACGAAAATTTGTCGTCAATAGATCTCGCACATTGATCATTTTATTTAGCCAAAGTAATAATATAGGCATCCTTTTAAAAATATAAAACTTGTATTACTTGTGATTTCTGGTTTACGGTTTATTTAATTATTTATAAAAATACTGTTAAGAAAAGTGATAATAATAAAGGAAATCAACGAACTGATTAAAGTAAAGGATTATATTCACTATTTTAATGAAATAAAGAGCAGTATCTGTTGGCAGTGTAGGTTAGAAAGATTTATAATAATAAATATAATAAATATTATTTTTATAAGCTCGTTTAAATAAAAAAACTTAGGAAGAGAGAGTGTGTGTGTGTGTATATATATATATATATATACATACATACATACAAGTGACTTATTTTTTTAATCGTTTGCAAAAATAAGAATAACCGCGACTCTAATCCCGATTTCGAAATCGTGCTTCTCGACGAGAAGCGAATTTACGATTTCCCACTTGGTTCGTCGGGCGTGTGCGTGGGTCTCTCGAAAATGCAAGCCCGCAGGCAGACAGGCAGGCAGGCAGGCAGTGAGAGGGATATCGGACTGGGCCGCATTCCCGAAAAGCATTTGGCGACGTCGGAGAGAGCGGCTCGATATTCGGGGTGCGGTTCCTAGGTCCGTAGGTCCTGGGTTTGCGTGAGCAAGGGAACGAAGCATGGCAGAGAGCGAGGGAGAGGGAGGGACAGTG